ACTGTTTTCAAATTTGTTTTCGAGAAGCCATCATCTAATTTATTTTTTTATATATTCCTTTTGTTAATTTATTTTCTTTCTTTTCAAATACCTATTTCAAAGTTTCTGAAAAATTTGAAAATACTGCAAATTTTGGAAATTTTTAGAATATTAACAAATTTTGAAAACTTTGAAAATCCTAAGTCTGAAGTTTTTGAAAATATTGGCAATTTCGAGTATTTAGAGCATTTTGAAAATATTAGAGATTCATATAATTATTAAATGTTTTGAAGTATTTTGAAAATCTTGAGAACTCTGAAGCTTTCAAAATGTTTGGAAATATAAAATTTTGAAACAGAGGCTCTAAACAGGTGACAAGTTTTAAAAAAAAACTTGGAATCCTCAAAATTTACCAAATTCTTGGAATTCTCATGATTTTTAATAGATCAAAATTTTCAAATTTGTCAAAACTTTGAATATATTAAAAATGTCTGAGAACTTCAGCATTGTCAAGGATTTCAGGGTATGTAGGTTTCAGATATTTCAAAAAATCTTAAAATTTCAAGAATCTTCAATATTTTCAAAACCCCCAAAATTTTTGAAAACTTGAGGGTTCTTAAGATTCTAAAAATTCTGGAAATTTTGAAAATATTAACAATTTCTAAAGATCGTGAAAATCTTAAGAATACTGGTTTTAAAAAATTTTAGAAAATTCGAAAAATATATTAACGAAGTGTTTTGATAGCATGAGAATCTTATGATAAGGATCCTATGCATGGAAATCTCAATACCTGTGGGAGATACAGCTTAGATCTAATAAGGAAAAGGTTGTGTTCTTTCTTCTTGTTAAAATTTCATGGCTTACTGATATATTTGGGAAGATCTAAAATTTGCCCAAATAATTTTATTTTTCTCTGAGTTTATTTTAAGAAATATCAAGGAACTGATAAAGTTTTCCCATTGGCACTTTTTAGGCACTACATGATGGTGTTTTTAAATTTTGTGCCCGGGGGTTCGTTTTTTAGAAACCATTATCAACTTTGTCTTTTATATGGTCCGAAAAACACCCTGTGCATTATTTTTTACGAATTCACCTGCTACATTTATTTTCTTGGTTCTATCGAAAAACGCGTTTTTTTCTGATTTTTTATTTTTACTAAATAGGCGTTGCAAACAAATGCTTAACTTGACGAAACTTCCTGTCATCGAGTATTGTTATTATTGTGTATTGTTAATATTGGTTTATTATCGCCCAAGGTTTTAAAAATTTTCAAATTTTCTGGATTTTACAACATTTCTTAGAGTCCCTAAGATTTTCAGAACTTATTTTTTTTTGAAATTTCCAAAACTTTTCAGAGATTTTCGAAATTTTCATAAATTGAAGAAATTTTCAAACTTCCTAAAATTTTCATATACAGGGTGGCGTATCGAAAACGAAACAGACGCATTTACAGGCAGCTCAGTTTTTTTTTTAAAAACGCTCAGATCCGTCTATTGTGTTTTCGAAGGGGACACAAGTTTGGCAAAAAATCAGGTTAACAGTTAACACGTGCAGCCCCTTGGGCAGGGGTGACACCAAACCATGGGCGTAGTGAAGAAAAGCATTTACTTATTAAGTAAATTCTTTTAGTCAAATTTCTTCTGAAAGTAGTACAAACTAATCTGATGTACCTATTAAAGTCTACTTTAAGCTTCAAATCAGTAAATCTTCAAAACTACTGAACTGAAGCTCAGGTATTTTACATCATTATAAAGGGAATTGAAAGACCTTTAAAATAAGGTATCACTCGACCAACCTTTTCATTTAAGATTTTGGGGGTGGTGTCATCCCCGCTTATGGGGCTGCACGTGCTAACGTGATTTTTTGCCAAACTTGTGACCCCTCGAAAACAAAATCGACGGGTCCGGGCGTTTTTCAAAAAAAAACTGAACTGCCAGTAAATGCGTCTGTTTCCTTTTCGATGCGCCACCCTTTATATGAAAATTACAGAATTTTCAAAATTTACAAGATTTTAACAATTTTCTTCAAATCTTTTAATTAACAAGTTTTAAAATTTTTCAGGGTATTGGAAACACTTAAACTATTGAATATTTTGAAAATCTTGAGAATTCCAGTTTTAAGAAATTTTGGAAATATTGGAGATTACAAAAAAAGTTGGAAATTTTGGAATATTAAAAATTGAACTTTCGAAAGTTTTAAAAAGGTTTAAAATTTTAGACGTTTCTAAAAATTATGAAAAGATCTCAAATGTTTTAAAATTTTGAAAATCTTCAAGCTTGAAAATCTTTAATATTTTTAAAATATTTCCAACATTCAGATAACTTTTCGTTTTGAACGATCAGAACAGGAGTGCATCACACATCCAAGACATTCCAAGAACAGCTAATAGCGAGCCTCTAGAAAAGGCACCATCAGAATCAAGTGCACCATTAACAAAGGAGCGGCCGTGAAATTTTTGTTTACCCAGGCTACTGCGATCGAGAGCGATGTTTGGTTTGGTAAACCCTCGTTCGCATCGAGACGGTTAAATATTGGAGATTGGAGCACTTGGCAAACATTGCTTGCCTCCGAAGGATGACATACTTTTCTCAGAGCAAACACGACGTTCGAAACGGGCGTCAAAACAGAATCGGGCAAGGTTCTTGACCTGAGTGGTATGGAGAATTACACAAACTTACTGTGGAAATGAGCAAAGCGCCATCTATTACCAAAATCATTGCGACAGTGTGTGGCAGCTAGCACCACTGTGACCACTAGAGGCTGACGAGTCTGGTGGCAAATTCGACTTTACACATACTAAACATGACAAACAGACAGCCAACCAAGTATAGCTGTGAAGAGTGAAGCAGGCTGATCAAATTTCCTCAAAAAAAGATATAAAAAAATTGTGACCCCGACGTGATTTGAACACGCAACCTTCTGATCTGGAGTCAGACGCGCTACCGTTGCGCCACGGAGTCTTGGTTTGATCTATTTATTTGCCAGTGAGATAAGATACTCGTACAATACCACTTAAAATCTGTAGTTATCAATTACATGATCTACCTATATCTTTTGTCATCGAATTCTGTACTTTGATATAGATAAGATGATAATCGTGAAACTGGAATGGACCGACGAATCAGGAAGTTTCCTATAGTCGAAAATTCTGGGAATCTTAATAATTCTGGAGTTATAAAATATTTTGAAGGTTTCTAAAATTGTGAGAATTGTAAAAATCTTGGAAATACTGCATGTTTTTCAAAATTTCGCTATTTTCCAAAATATTGGATATTTTGGATGTTTTATAATATTGGAAATCATGACATCTTTAAAAATTTTTAAAGTTTTGAAAATTTTGAGAGTTTGAAGATTTTGAAAATTAGTTATTCAGTTATGAAATTACATTATTTATATCTATTATCGCATGTCATCGACTTTTGTGCTTTGATAAGGATAGAATGAAAGTCATAAAACTGAAAAACACCTACAAAGTCGAAAACACTGCTAGTTCTACTTGCATATATTTTTTATTAAAAGGTACAGAAATATTCCTATATAAAACGCTGTTTCATATCCCAATATAATACTTTTAAATTGGAGAACATTCTTCGAAAAAGTCCCAATTTCAAATACGGCTTCTCTTTCGAAGCCCGTAACCTAGCAGAGGAACGTGCCACAAAAAAAATGTGTTTTCTCTTTCACACCTACTGAATGTTCAAACAGGCCCAATATGAGCAAATTCTAAATTCTTCGCGTGAAATTCCCCCAAAACGAAACCTAACCTTAATAAACGTAAGAGGTGTCAATCGATCTAAATGTCAAAACATTTTGGGCAAGCAATTTTCAATATCGAAGGCACCTAGATGTTGCAGTGATTTTTCTAGTGAGGCACAAACATGCGATGATGCGAATCTAGAAAATTTTGCAAGAAAATGTTGAGAATCTTGAAATTATTGAAAATTTTGAAGGCAGTGGGCAGTCTGGTACACGAACGGCTTGGCTACTGAAGAGCTCCAATTTCTTCCTTCATTCATTATCAGAAGGAGATTTTAGATTCTCTCCAACTTAGTTTGACCCTGATCGTTTCACGTGATTGCAAGATACAGTTGGTTCACTCTATCATTTTTACCTGGGAGGGACATTGCAATAGTTCTTGTTATTTTAAGTTTTTTAGACTGCACCGGCGCTTTACTTATAATTATCAGAAATACTGTTTTAAACCTTTGTTAAATAGTTTTTCGAAGAATGTCGATGTCTCTTTGGCTATAACGCACTGAGAAACGGAAAGTAGAACGTCTCATTTCGTAAACTGCGGTAAAATGCAAGATTCACGGAAAATATCCGTGCGATTTCTGTTATGATGATAGGAATTTTTATCTCCTAGCTTACAATTTACGTTTTGTAACATATGTATGTGTAGCAATAACCTTTTCCACACCAGCAAACGTTGTAGTGCAAATATTTTTTTTCTTTTTTTCTTAAATTTTTGAACTTGAAAATATTGGAAATTTTAGAAATCCTGAAAATATTGAATGTTTTGAAAATCTTGACAATTCTGAAGTTTTCAACAATTTTGGAAATATAAAATATAGAGAATTTTTAAAATTTTGAAGATTTAAGAAAAATTAAAGTTTCAACATTTCTTAAAATTATAATTGCTTTAAAATTTTAAAAATCCTGAAACTTGAATATCTTGATTTCTTTTAAACTTTGAGGTTTGTAAATTTTGCCAGTTTTGATAATATTGAATATTTTTAATAGTGTGCTTTGAAGATTCAGATGACCTTGAGTTTTGACGGATCAGAACAGCCCAAGCAGAAAATCATTTCGATATTTCGTTTCTTCCCCAATAAAAGTATTACTCTGCTTATATCATGACCCATATTAGCATCACACATCCAAAACATTCCAAGAACAGGTAATAGTGAGAGAATTTGACGTATGAAATTGTTCTTTTGGAAATATATGCATCCGATTTGTTTACGGGGCATTCTTTGGTCCAGATCACAGATACGCAGGCGTTTATAAAAATCATCTCTCAAAATATTATCAGACTCAAAGTCTTGTTCTCAGTTGTTCCCATTTGGCCATGACCTTGTTTCTCTTTCAGTTTTTTCTCTTCTTCAGGCACGCTACAATTAGATTTCTCTTTGCCTCCCTAAAAGAGAGAAAAGCAAGAGGGTCTCGAAAAGAGCGTCTTTTGAAATGGGAAAGCAAGCAAGATCATACGAACATGATAATCAAAAATCTTAAAACATTCGATCAAAGCGAGAGAACTTAGAAAGTATTGAAAGTTGTGAAATGTTTTATCTGGTATTTTGCCTTGACCATCACTATTCGCCAGGAGCGAAGTGAACAGTGGGGGGAACTGCATCGACTGCCACGCAAGCGGCGGACAAAAGAAGAAACATTTCATGCAAAGATATTTCGCTGGCTTCATCTGTCAAGCCAAAATATAACACATACATTACGCCATCTCTAAACATCTCAACTCGACAATGCTAGTTGTACCTGAGCATATAAGTATTGTTCTTCTTTCCATGTGAACGGCAGCTTCGTAGTCTGTCTCGCCATATCTTCGCCCACTCTCGCTTCCCGCGAAAATATATCACACGGCCTTATTGAATTTAAATGATTCTTGCTGTACACACTCGAGCATTATGAATGCTGAACAGCAATGTGTATAATGAGCATGGCCAGCGCCCTATGAACCTGTCACAGGGGTGGACTCAGCCCTTTTGGTATGAGGTAAAGGGAGAGAAAGAGAGAAAAAGCAACAAGAACTGAGGTTTTAGACAGAAAGCAAAAATGCTCATTCTATAATGACGTGCCTACCTGAGAAGATGTTACGGTTTCCGGCACCAGCGTTCGTCATGCAACTGAGGAGTAAGCTCGTCTAGTCCTATTTTGAGGCTAATGTCGTTGCTCTTGATAAATTCAGTGACATTAAGAGTATTACAACAAAAAAAATAATTTTTCAACTTGATTTTTTGGCAATGAGGTAGTCTTACGTCAAGAATGGAACGATAACATTCTCATCGAATTTCATCGACAAGAAATATAACAATATGAGACGATCGATGTCTGGTTCTGGCACCTCATTCAAAACAACTCGAACCTTGTGGCAGCCTGATGTGAACAGGGTTTTTTTCGTAGGGGATGGCTTCCACCAATTTTCAAAACTGAACAAAATGCAACCAATTGGAGGAGAAAGGATGATGATTATCTTCTGTTTCAATTGACGCTGAGGGTCAAAATCAAAAAATGGAAGACGTAGCACCCAAACCAAAATGACTAAACCTAAGTTACACAAAAAAAGGGTGCTAGTCTATGGATTGGCGTTTGGGGCCTAATATCCCAGAGTCCGGAAAATGACGAAACGACCCCTGCACCACGACCTCAACGGAAACAGAAAAGCGAATCACACAGAACACGTAACGTTCTAGAAAAAGGTATCTTGAATGGCCTTGAAGAAGATATGTTTTAACGGAGTAAAACTACAGAGTTTTTTGCTGACCGTCAACACCATACTGAATCGCTGAGAAAGAAAGATATAATATGAGTAAAATTATACAATAAATTTGCCAAAAGAAAATCTTTGAAAAGGGTTTGGCCTAGGAATAGGCACTCTATTATCAATGAAGAGAAATTCAAATTATGGATAAGTGATAAATACTAAAAAAAAGCTTACGTATTTTTGCACGTGACAGTTTGTGGCGGATGTGCTAAGTAGATAGTCCCCCCCCCATCATATCCCACTCACGTTCGATGGAATTTAAATCCAGTGAACGGGGTGGTCACGTCAAAACAATAACGTCTGTTTAAGACAGCAGATAACATTTTAACAAAAACAAACGAAAGCTAAAACGTTGACATGTTGCCAAAAAAAAAACTAAAGAAATTATTTTTTCTGGGTGTAACACTTCTGATTTCGAGTCCAGCTCTGTGCCTGTGGCGAGCCCAACCGGGGATCGCGATGACTCACACCTGTAGGTGATATAGTTGTCGAGGTGTGAGAACCGAGAACAATGAGATTAGATTTTAGAGATGCGTCTCGTTCGTTGAGGTCCGAAGAGCGGAAGGGGGGATGGTTTACGATCGCGTTCCAGTTTCCGTTGGTGAATTATTCAACGGAAGGTGACAGCACTGCGCAGACACTGGGCGGGGATTTTTAGAGACGGTAATGATGGATGGGTCCGTGCCTCTGAGGTGACGATTGAAGAGTTGTTCACACGCCACGCCAGGAGATGACGGAATGTCGAGGACAAGATTATGTACAGGGTGGCTCTCAAAGGCTGGTCCTGTAAAATCATAAGGCCATCATTGCGTGTTGGTGCGTCACTTGAGACCTCACTGCGACATGTTTCAACAAACTTCTTAAACTAGTTAAAGTTTTAAAATATTTTCAAAATTTCCATAGTTTCCAGAATTTTCATTATTTTCAAGATATTTGAGATCTTCAAAGTTTCTCAATTCTCAATTTCCAAGATTTTCGAACCTTAAAAAATTTTCATGATTTTGAAAGCTTTGAGAATTTTAAAATTTCTCGAAATTTTCAGAATTGGATTTTCCAAAATTCTCACATAGATATTATCAAAATATTCGAAATATTTCAAGATTTTCAAAATTTCAAAAATTTTCAAATTTTCACAATATTCAAAATTTACAAGATTTTCAAAATTTTTTAAACTTCTGACTTACAAAATTTTCAATATATGCGAGTTATGAAATCTAAATTTCCAGAATTTTTAGAATTCTCAATTTTCTAAACTTTCTCGATTTGAAAAATTTTCAAAATTTTTTAAATATCCAAAATTTTCTAGCTTTTAAAGAAATTCAAAATATCTATAATTTTCCAAATTTTCAGCATTTTCAAAATATCCAATATTTTTAAATTTTATATTTTCTGAAAGTTTTCATAATTTTGAAAATTTTCAGAATTTTCAGTCACCTAGTTTTTTGAAGATCTAAAATATTTAAAATTTTTCAAACTTCTGATTTCCAAAATTTTCAATACCTGCAAGATTTATAAAATCTTCTAAATTTCCAGAATTTTTAAAATTCTCAATTTTCAAAACTTTCTCAATTTTCAAAATTTTCTAAATTTTCAATATTTTCAAAACCTTTGAAAGAACCGAAATTTTCAAAAATTTCAAAATATCCAAAATTTTCAAAATTTTCAAAATTTTCAAAATTTTCAAAATTTTCAAAATTTTCAAAATTTTCAAGATTTTCAATATTTTCAAAATTTTCAAAATTTTCAAAATTTTCAAAATTTTCGAAATTTTCCAAATTTTCAAAATTTTAAAAATTTCCAAATTTTAAAAATTTTCATAATTTTCAAAATTTTCCAGGTTTTCCAAATTTTCAGCAAAATTTTCAATGCTTTAATAATTTTCAGAATTTTTAGTCTCCTACTTTTTTGAGGATTCAATATATTTCAAAATTGTCTAGTTTATTAATATTTTCAAAATACTCAAAATTTCCAAGACTTTAAAACTTGATTTACAAGGAAAGCTTCATAATCAGTATCTCTTTGGCTATCAACATTCGCTCTGCCATCATCGCGGACATTAAGTGCCTTTTTCAAAGTGCAATCCAAGCCAGTACACCATGTGCGAGACAATTACATTTAATAACATCTGAAACGAAGTGTTCGTTTTTTTTGCTGTTGCTTTGCCTGTAGGAGATCGACGATGATCGTTGATACGTGGGGCTGATGATTCCGTCACGTTTTTTTTATCCAGATCATAAAGCAGACCGTGTGACATGTAAATCGAACCATACCAAATAATTATCGAGGAATATGGTTTCAAAGAGGTTGTTCGGCTAGATACTGTAACGAAACTACAGTTTTTAATGTCCAAGGTGTAAATTATTGCTCTAACAGTAACTAACTAACTAATTTATCATAAATGAATATATAATCGACTGGACTGTAGCATTTCGCGTTGTTCACTGTCTCGACCGTGACTGACTGCTTCCACAATATGGACGGTATTTATTTTCAATCGACGATTTCAGAAGTTTCTCCTCGATCTTCGTGTAACCATATAGATTGTCTTCTAGATGACGCTGCAAACGTTATAGAATCTTTCAAAATGTCGTCAATTCAGGATCAATGCACCCGATTCACCCAAAAAGATTAGCTTCACTGGTATGCAACACGGGTTCATAGTTAATATACTAAGTGACATATAAATCCGAACACCCAGTTTAAATGGTTTTATTTTAATAAAAGTTGCTGAATCAGTTGGACATTCCGGTTTTAATACTGCTTTTTTTAATTTACTAACGCTCTAAAAATTAATATTTCAGCCGCAGTAAAGAATCAACGTTGGCGGATTTTGGTTCTTGACATCCTTTACGATCGGTTACGATGCCTAGAGTACGGAGACCTGTACGATTTCGTCAACTTAGTGAGTTTGATAGGGGCCGTATAGTGGGACTTCGGGAAGCTGGACTTTCTTTTCGGGCAATTGCAGTTAGAGTGCAAAGAAGTGTAGACACTGTGGTTAGGTGTTGTCAGGCATGGCTTCGAGAAGGCCGTACGCAAAGAGCAAGGGGCACTGAACGCCGCCGTAGAACAACAGACCGTGAAGATCGCCGCCTAAGATTATTGGCCTTAAGGGACCGTTTCTCCACTACCAGGTCCATTGCAAATGCATGGTTTGCAGAACACGGAAGACCTATTGGCATGCGAAGTGTTTACCGACGAATGAGAAGTTTTGGCTTGTTTTCATACCGGCCACACTGGGTCCTCCCTTTAACTCGAGAACACCGACGTAATCGCCTTGAGTGGTGCAGACAACGGTCACTCTGGGATCAGGAATGGAACAGTACTGTCTTTAGTGACGAGTCTCGATTTTGTTTAGGCATGCACGATGGTCGTGCCAGAGTTAGAAGGCGACGTGGTGAAAGGAGGAATCCACAGTTTTTTGTTGAAAGACATGTTCATCACACTGTTGGAGTTATGGTTTGGGGTGCTATAGCTTATGGTTCCAGGTCACCTTTAATCTTCATCAGAGGTAACAAGAACGCGCAGCGTTAGATCCACGAAGTTCTATAACCCCATCTTTTACCCTATCTTGACACCCTGGCAGATCCAACTTTCCAACAAGATAATACCCGACCACATGTTGCAAGAGTCACAATAGA